TTCCATGGGGTTTTGTTTTTCTACCCTATTGTTTTATTTTAAAAGACACTGCATCATTAAGCTTCTGGAGGAATGTATGAGCTCTCTGTGCTTCCAAGTGAAGCAATAAAGAAAGGGAGAAAAGTTTAAAAGGAGAATAGTCCTGTTCTATGTGTAGCCTGTTACCACAGGCTTTTTTTGTGTTGCTTGTCTGGTCTGTAGGTGTTCCTGATATTGCTGGAAATCGTCACTGCCTGCTGTGGGACCTGGCACAATCACACTTGTAGTAAGATCAGCTAATTAAAAGTGGTTCCTGGCTGTGTGCTCTCTTGTTTTTTTCCAGCACTGAGCCACCTTTTAAGCTTGTTAAAGTAACTGGATGTGATTCCAGGATGAGGACACTAAAAACCTCTGGCTGTGAAGCATTTATGGACCATGGACACTTTATTCACCTCACAGTCAGTGCTTCAGTTCTGATTTGCATGGAAGAGAAGCCCCATATAGCAGTGACTTGCTGTTTTTTTTATAATGAACATTTTTGCTTGCTGTTTGGTTTAACTGGTACTGTAGCAAGGGTGGAGGTTCTGTTTTTCTTTGCTAATTCATGTAGATGTCTTGAGCTGCTTGAGTAGACTTCCTCCCCCTTATTATCACAACAGCATGATTCTTAAGCAAGGAATAACCAGCCCAGCTCTGCCCTCAGGCTTGAAGGTGCTGGAGAAGGTTAAGCTGTCAAGAAACTTTCAATCTTAACAAGATTTAAAAGTGTCAATCCTGTAGGAGATGCTCTGCAACCTGAAACTTGCAAAGGTTTCCATGCACAGAATTCTGCCCCCAGCACTGGTTTGAACTGTGTGGAAACGAAGAACAGCTGTGCCCTTCATGAAGTCAGTATCCATTAAATGCTGTCACGTGTGATTGTCTAATCCTGACCTGTGACTTCAGAGAGAGAGGGTGGTTTTGTGGTTAAGGCACAAGACCACCAGCTCTGGAAGATCTCAGTTCTGCTGGAGGCTCCCTTACATGACCGTGGAGAGGACTTTTCTCCCTGCCACATGTGGGAAATGGGCTTCTCTTCTCCTGCTTGTTTCTTGTGGATAGGGATTGTTGTTGCCCGCTTTGTTTCTGTGCAGCGCCTGAGCCAGAGTTAGGCAGAACAAAAGCATTTCAGTGCCTGCTGGTATTAGGGGGGTAATTGGCATGGTTGATAAGCAAAGCCCCTGTGTATGTTCTCTGCTGTTCCATTCCTCCCTTGAGGGCAAGGCTGAAACTATGAAAGTATAGTCTACTATAAGGACAAACTACCTCAGTATTTCTTCTGCAGATGCGCATCTCGCCACTGAGTCACAGAGATGGATCATGTCACATGTGACTCTCTTGGAGTGTGATGGCTCATTTTGACCTCAAGTTCATCTCCATATTTGTCTGGTGTTTGTTTTTATTGCTAGGGCTTTAGGTTTGAGCAAAAGGCTGTGGTGGTGGTGAGGGCAGCCTGCAGGACTGCAGCTCCCCTGGTCTTCTGTTGAAGGTGGTGAAGGTAGGACAGGATGCTCATCCGTGTCAGCAAAATAACATGGGGGATATTGTCTCTGATGTGTTCTCTGTTGCTTGCTGACCATACTTATGATCTCAGTCAGTCTCAAGTGTGAGAGATGATACGTGATTTTAATCACATTTGAGCTCATACACTTTGCCTCACGTTTTTTGAGTAACTTGATAGTACGTCTGAGCTTTTATGGAAGGAAAATACTGCAGTAGTTGGCCTCTGGTTGTTAAATGTGTTCTTCCACTCCAGATGTTTGCATTATTAGGTAAGCTTGGTATTAGCCTTCAAAAGGCTTGTCTGTTTCTTTTGTTTTCTATTTTTGGTGCAGTTCATTTAGTTAATGCTTTTGTATTTCCTTAGGCACTAGTGGGCAAGCAGTCTTGGAGGAGAATGGCTGTTTTTAATAGGAAACCTCTATTAAGTCTTGTCTTTTTTGAAGTATCCAGGACAGGAATTTAGACTGATTGCAGTGTTCAGTGCTTTTCTGTGGTCTGCAACTCACTGTGCATGCCTTCATGTATGAGGAGGATTGTGTGAGACACTGAGCCACAAGTGCTGTAAGTAGGACCAGGGGCAAGAGAGAAAATGCATGGTTAGGAAGGCTTGCTTTTTGCTTAGGGTGCTGCATTGGGACCGTGGCACTGGGATTTGGTCTCTTGGTCTCCCAGAGCTTCCATGTGTGGCCTCGGGCAGATAAGAGTTATAAGTAGTGAGCATGGGTTTGTGCCCAGTTGGCTGGAAGCCAAGCATTGTCCCACAAGCAATTTTGGTTACATCACGTGTTGGTAACTTTACATTCTGTTCCCTTTTTGTTTTCCTCCAAACGATGACAGAAGCTCCATCAGATGTTTATAGGAGTTGCCTTGGAAGGCAGCTTCCATTTTCAGCAAATTCTAGTGCTGAGCAAGTATGAAAATGCCCAGCATAGCAAAAAGGCAGGGAGGAAACACTATGTTGACAGGGAGCTTAATTACACTGGTTAGTTACAGCTATGGACAGTGTCAGGCTCTTTGTTACTCCCCATCCTGATCATGGACAGGCTAGCAGGAATTCTAATGTAGTTGCTCTCCTGCAATTACCTGAGGAAAACATCCCTGACCAAGAAAAACCCTGATTCCACATGGCAAAAAAACCCTCCAACCAAACCCACAAACAGAACAGCCTAGAGAAACCCTAAAGGAAAGCAACAATGAAGAAGCAGAGAAAAGCATAAGAATTAATTGCTTGGTTACATTTTTAAAGATGTGTGGCCCCTTAAGAGTATCTTGAAAAAGATTTTAAACGGGGATAACCTGAAAGAAAAGGCTTGCAAGCATCCGATTTCTGCATGCCAGCGTGCCTTCGGCCAGCTGCCCCTTTGTCCATCGGAGTTTCTGAACCGTCGATGATCTCACCAAAAAAATAAACAAGCTGCACACGTCTTTGGGGAGTTCAGCGCGCTGAGGAAGCAGCCAAGGAATCGGGGTGGGCGGGAATTTTTTTCCTCCAGTTGCCACGAAGCGGGGTGCTTCGGCTTCTGCCGGGAACAAAAGGACGTTTTTCTGTTCCTGCAGGAGCTGCCT